CCCAAAAAAAAAAATCAAATCACCACACGTCCAGTCAGCTTCACTGGAGTACACAACAGGGCCTCCCACCGAACTGCAAGAGAAACAAACGGCTTAGCACATTTTAAATGTGCTGAAAGCTGTGTCGCCTATTACAACAAGGCATTGCAGAGTTGTCTGACCTTTGCGGATCCCTATTCAGTACGGCATTACTCGCGGCGGACTGTATCCCTCCGTAACCCCAAAAGGGGCAAAAAGCTCGCCAAAAAAGCGAATTACACCAACACGTTTTACAAGAGCCCACAAAAGTAAAATAAAATGCAAAATAAGCGGCTAATTTTGCGGGCAGCGCCGAGGCCGGGCAGTGTGTGCTGCTCCTCCTAGACTCACTAGAGAGACGCCCACTTTCCTTTTCCTAAGGACTAGTCCACTCACCTGCCTTGTGGCGCCGCGCGCCGGGCCGCCGCTGCCGCTCGCTCGGAGTTGCGCTGGTCAGGGAAGTGCCACCGCCGTGTGGCTGCCGCTGCCGCTGCTCGTCTGCTCGTCGTCGCGACTAGGGTCGTATATACCGGGCGGGCTGAGCTAAGGCTGTGGGCCTCGGACAGCTGCTTGCTTGCTCGTCGGGCGGGCTCCTCGCGGCCACTGCAGGTCCCACTCTAGCGCTGCCGCCGGCCGCGCTCTGGAGTCCGCCTGGAGGGCTCCCTCCTCTACTCCCGCTCCCTCCCTCCCTCCACTCCCCGACCCGACCCACGCGACGGCAGCTTCGGCTCGCTTTAGTTTCCCCTCCCCACACAGTCCCTTCAGCAGCGACCGGATGATATTCGCGTTATGTCCGTTCGAGAGCAATTCCAACCGTCGAAAGGACCCACTTTCTTTGAAAAACCATGTGCTTTTGTGAAAGCTTGCATTTTGTATAAAACTTGTTTTTACTGAATTAAACTCAAATTTTAAGTGCTGACGACAAGCAAGCAAAACCGAAGAGTTTCAAGTGCAATACATTTATTTTGTTCATGTGTACTTATTGAATAGAATCCAATTTTTAAGTATATGGCGGTCTATGACATTCATACCCTTTATTTGCCCTGTTCCCCCATGATTACGCAAAAAATGTGTTCGGAGGTGGAGGAAGAAGAAAGAAAAAACTGTTCCGTTTCATTTGTTTATTATCTACTTTACTCAGGAAAAAAAGAAGGGGAGGGGTTGCAAATTTGCATTTTGCAATCCCATTACATCACTTCTATCATGTTATTATATTTTCATTCAACACAAATAGACACAGTGAGACTGCCAGGAGGAAGAGGCGCTCTCTTTAAAAGAGAACATACTTTTTGTAGGTTTATAAAGTAGTCCTGGACATGACCCCCCTCCCCCCCCTCCACAACCCTTGCCCCAAAAGAATGATAAAAACCAGAGTAACAAACAGTTATTTAAAAAGAAAAACCCTTCCTAACTGGCATCTCACTGCGAACTGGTGTAACATGTGTCAAACACATACTAAAATGTAGTTTCTTGCGATAAGTTATTCAACAACAAGGAGAAAACCGACCAAACACGCAAACCTTCCGCACACATATGCACTCATAGTATAATTTGTTATAGCAATATTATTTCATAATATAGATACTATAATATGTTTAATTATTTCAAAAATAAAACAGTCTCACACCCACCACTCTGGCTTCTCCTCATTCCTGAATAATCAAATCTTAATATTGTAAAAGTAACTCCCTAACAATAACATAACAAGGTACAAGTATTGGTTATTTTAGTGAGACTTAAATAACAATCATCCATTACTAAAAATATCACAAAATTGATAAAATGAGAAAATACTGAGCCACTGTCATGTTAACTGCAGGATCACGGGCGTGGCTTGCATTGGCTCACGTCACACATCTGGTCTTTCAAAAATATATTCAACTAGTTTTGCTGGCACTGAACCAGCCTACGGCAGAGAGTCCAGGGTTAGTTGCTGTGCGGTACTGCACAGCAAAAAGAGCGACCCACGCTAGTTGCCGCTTCAGATCACTTCCTGCAAACAGTCTCCTGAACGGTATTCATGGGACGGGGAAGGGGCTGGGAAAGGCACGTTTGTTTGTTTAATCATTTTTTCTTTTTTTTTTTTTGCACCACACAACCATTGAAGTTAAAGAAAAAAAATTGAGATAAAGTATTTCCAGTTACTTTTAACAAATGGTAAATAAATGGGCGAGTATATTAATAAAAAAACAAATACCATTTGTACTGCTTAGCACGGCTTAACATTTTTGGCTTGGCTATGCACTTTAAAAGAGAAGCAAGAAGTGTGAAGCAAGCCAGCCCCAACACACCCTAGCTGCCCAACCATTAAGGAGACAAACGGATGCTTACATGAAGTGAATGTAAGTTGGATTGCAAGGGGCACAAGCATTGCATTTAATGTGCATGATCTATACAGCATCACGCGGTAGCACACGCCGGCAGCACCAGATGACAGCACAGCCCGTGGGTAAAGGGAGAATCATACACATATTTTCAAAAGTGTCCGAAGAAAAGATCTAACAGGGGAAGAAATTTACATTTACCTGGAGATCCGTACGAACACTACTATAATAGGTATGACTTCTGAACAACAGAAATACTTGGCAATAAAACCAAACCAAGTCATAAAAACTCTTTAACAGTAATTACCAAATGATTTTACAATAGATAATTTAACAAAAAATAATTAATATTTAGACACTTTTGAAAATGTGTCATCACATCACCCATGGAATTTAAGCTGATGTCATACTTAAGCCAGGAAAGTGGACTTTTCTGATTGAAGATGACCAAATACATAGGCAGAAGCTGAAAGCAAGATTGATTTCCAGAGAAAATTTTAGTGAGATAAAAAGCCTAATAAATTGAATTAGTTATAAATAACAAGTCTCTACAAAAGGTTGCTGGCTAAGCTACAACTGCAGATCAAAGCAGGGCATGTCTTTTATCATTACTATGTGCTGAATAAAGACACGAATGATTACGCACAACCGAGGAGGCTAAATACTTTTCTCAACAGTATTTACAAACACTTCTTTTTAATGTGATATTTCTGTACCTGAACAGCTCAAAGCAACAGAAGCAACGGATGCAGCAGCAGTTCAGCAATTATGCCAGTTGGAAGCAGAGCTCAGACTGGCAATGCAAGGGGATCTCACAATAAAAAAAGCAGGCTATGACAATTCACTTCTTTGTACTTATGAAGCAAGTGAGTCGAGTAAGTGATGTTAATCATGGAATTTACAATGATCCCCTGAAATGCAGTCAAAAGACTGGCAACAATATTTATTCTAACTGCTTGCTGTCCGTCCAGCCCACAACAGTGAGATTCAACTAACATCAAATATGGACCTAATGTACCAGCTACAATGGGAATATGCGTATACTAAGAAACATGCAGGATAAGCTATTATAATGTAAGAGTACAAGCTAAGCACATTCTCAGTTAGATATAATAAAGGACAGGGTAGAATCAAATCCATACATTTTTGTTATGGGAGTTAAGCATCCAAGCTAAACCTATTTCTTCCTCATTGGCTGCATGACCCAGCGCATAGGGTGTTCAGTTAAGCTTAATGCCAGAGACTTCGCAGTGGCCCACTAGAAGCTCCCTGACAGCAGTGAGTCCATTCATGCGCATCACGCATCCACTCACAACCACAGATAGTACTTTAGGCCATAACATTTGATATCCCAAAATGTATGAATGCAAGTCTGATAAGCACTCAAATTCAGGGCTGCGTTTGGTCACTTCTAGGGCCATAGTGCTTTGTTACTGTTTACACATTAATAGTAATCATAGTAATAACATTTAATTCCATAATAGTTATGGGACTAATCACATTCAATAGATTGCGGATGAACATGAAAGCAGATGGATAGTGGGTTACACTCCACAGGTTAGGATTGTGGGGGTGATGACAACAAGCAGTTATGAAGAAACAGCATCATGTTGTGGGTTGAAAGTCCTGATGGGTGAGGTGGAAAGGAGACATTGTGGCAAATGACAAAGTCTAAACTATTCAGGGCAGGAGGGAAAGACTTAAACTATTCATTTACCGCTGGTCACGGTAATATTCACTGCCACCTCTCGACTCACATCTCTAAACAATGCTGTCATAGGGACAAATGGTTTAGTCTATGCAACATTAAGTTTGACTCAAAAAACATAAAATCTCACACCCCGCAACTTCACAAAAACTAATACATGACAACATTAAAAAAAATGACTTCAAATATTGGATTTGTAATGGGCTAAGTAGCTTTATACAAATTTAATAAGAATGAAAGAAATAGTGTTTTAGATTGGATGTTTTACAAAGGAAAAAAAGGGATTAACTTTTTCTCATACACTTATCTTGAAACAGTATAAGATAAAAATACATACCTCAATGTCCAGTACAGGATATCACATTCACATCAACAACAAACCTTTATTGTGTACAAGTGTTACTATTTATCACTGTCGGTGCCTTTTCCATAGGGCAAATACATGGCTTATCACTTTGGGGGAAAATGTGTAAATGCACACATACTAAAATTCTGGAAGGATACAATGAGAGAGATGAAATCAAGTGGTACGTGAAAAACCAAAACCTGAATGTTTTGGTACATAAATGATAGGTTGCTCACATCAATAAAATTTTCAATGATTTGACTTATAAATTACAACAAAGACCTAGTTTAATACACATCAATGACTTTTTCTTCATTAAACAATTAAAAAAAAAAAGAAAAAAGAGGAATATTGTGGCACTTTTTTCTTGTGACGTCTGAGAGGTATTATCAGCAAGGAAGGCGCAGGCGGACAACAGTTTGATAACAGATTAAGAGAGCTACCTATAGTCTTCAATTTTCAAGTTGGTCAGTTCCACTGCTTGCCTGTTTGTTCATTGCATTTTAAAATGTCTATGCTGTACAACCTGCCTTCACATTTCAATTGACTAGAACCAAGATCACTTTCTGGCGACGCTTGACAGAAACTCCACTGTTGCAACATCATAAATGTGAGAAAAAGTTTTCCTTCCTTTGAAGAGTTAATACTTCAAATTTTCTTCTTAAATATAAATATATTTTGATCTGGGCGTCACATTAACAAGAGAATAATAAATTAAAATCTAACAAATCTGAAATGATGCAGGGAGCAGAAAAAGAATCTGCCAAATCGTTGCTCAGTGAGATGTGTCCAAACCGATGTCTTCATCTCCATCGGTCTTGGTTCCTTCCCAGACAAAGAACCACATAGGAAATAACAGTTTGATGGTCAAATAAACTTCTTACTATCTAAAGTGCCGTAATTGTAACCTTCAAGAGCCCAATTCAAAGATACATTTTTCAAAAACCTTTTATAAAAAGAAGAGAACACTTTTTGTTTTTCTCCTATGATACAAGTATGAAAGATATCATGGCAGAAACTAATAAAACTCTCATATTATTTCAATGGCAGTCTGCTCCATTCCCTTGAGAGTGCTATCCTCAAGTCACTTTGTTTCACTGCTGAAGTTTTCACTGAATACAGGGCAACCTCACAATTGTTGTAGTAATGCAATGAGAACTAACCTGGATTCTGCTCTGGTGTGCATGTTAATAGTAAAAATCTAAGTCAGTTCATGAATTCAGACAGAAATTTTCATGAAACTTGATTATATCTAAGAAACATTTGACAGTAAGTTACTGAAATAATATTTGGATTTCACATTTTGACAAAGTTTTTACCTGATACGTCTTGTCATTCATTGTCTTTTATAAGATTAAAGAGAAGGAGGATGCAGAGAAGTGGCTCAAATATGCCAACTAGCAGCTGCTAGCCGATGATGTACACTTTCTCTTCAATATGATTAAATACAAAACTAGAACAATAGCTTTTCTAGATGTGCTACAATAAATAACATGCACAAGTCTCAAACATTCTAGGGGAAATATCATTCACATTTATGTTCTCATTGCATATAGAGAGATACTTTCTTTCTTAAAAATCAATCATAACTAAAACGTAAAACAAAAAAAT